GCCACTAGGCAGTTGTTCAGGATGCAGATCTAGTGCTGGCCTACCTCAGTAGAAGGCTCCATCAACCAGGAGCTCCTTCGTCATTCTATTTACTCATTGTGGATAATGTCTATGATGATGCAGGTACCAAATAGTAGGTGAGACCATACATCACACATTCCACTTTTATAAAGCAGAGGTAATAAGCATGTGCCATTAGCCAGTATAAAACCATAAAACAAAACAGATTTCAGAAAAGAAAAACTAAACACTCTAGTTCCTTATCAATAATACCCCTCTCCCAGTGCATTAAACTCCTCTTTGTTCCTCTATAGACTTTAAATAACATGACCATCAGTTACAGCAGAAAGTTTTCCTACCAAATTATCATATGAAGTCCAAAGACAGAACTAATAAAAGTTTAGGGTTATTGATGAAATTTTGTCATGGTGAATCTTATCAAGTCTGTTTAGCCAGTTTATCCTTGATCTCTATAGTTCCCTATAAAATTACTATAGTAATTTTATATCCACTGATTCCCACCCTTCCCCTTGATTATAAATCCCTACTTGTCCGTGTTGGAGTAGGAATTAAGTCCAGTTTCTGTCATCTCCCACTGGAAGACCTGGTTACAGTGATTCCTATACCAATTGACATGACCTTGTGAATACAGTATACCTTACTATGCTTTATTATTTTTTAAAAAATTTTATCATGTTTTGTTTGGGGTTTTGTTTTATGATGTTTTGTTGTATTTTTCCTCCTTTAATTCTCTTAATGTTATAATTAGGATTTCTTATCTTTTTGGTGTTTTTTCGCATTTTTAAATACCAGTTTTATTTTTTTCTCATTGATCCAGAAAAGTTTACTGTAACGTTTTTTTTTTTTTTTTTGAGATAATTTAAAAGGAAGGCCAAAGAACATTTTGAAAATTCAAAAAGAGAAAAGAAAGGAAACAGGGAAAAATAGATAAATAAAATAAATATTAAAAGGAGAAGAGAGTAAAGAAAAAATATATATACAAATCAGCAAATAATGAAGATAAGAAAACCTTGATAAAAAGCAAAAGTATTTGTTTCTGCCAAAGTGGCCACTCACATGGGCAAGAGTGGGTGTTCCCTACCTATGCTGATCAGAATTTCTTTCTGTGTCCTCAACAAGCAACCAGTGGAAGTAGTTTGGGACTGGAACCAGTTGGAATATCTCTCAACTGCCCTGCTCACCAGGATAAGATAATACAAACTGCAAAGTTTCAGAAATTTACTCTGAAAAGATTACTCAAGGCAATCTCAGGGTTGGGCTGACACCAGGCTCTGAGTCAGAGTCTGTGTCACGTGCCCATTGTGAAACCCACTTGGAAGGAAGGGGAAGTGAGTACACTGGGAAGAAGGAGTCCAGCACAATCCATAGCACCAGTCTCACCTTCTAAGATACAGCTTCTACTATAACCATGTATGCCTGCTCAGTCCCCAGAACTCCTTCAGCTAGTCACCTAGTATGTCTGTCCTAAACAGGAAGCAAGTTCTGCTTCATTCCATGTCACTCACTGGTTTCCCACTACATAGATTTTTCAGTGGGTTTGTTTCAGTGGGACTACCCTGGGGCTAAACTGGGTCTCAAGGTAGATGTCCACTGGGACAGTGTAGTCATGTTTGCTGTAGGTTCCTCTGTAGGAAAATGCAGAGGCTTTTGATTTGCACAACAGCAAGTTCAGATGCAACCTTCTCAAAATGGCTCATTTTTACAGAACTATGAGCATAGATTGGGAAGTGCAAAGGACTTCTCTAGTGCCAGCCCGTTATGCACATCCCAGATCCAGCTGTGTTCAGTCTTCCCATCTGCACTATGTTAAATTCTGTGCCAGCTGTGCTTATTGGGTCCCCTTCTTTCTCTGCTGTTCCTGTCCTTTGCCATGTTGGCACAGTGTGGCACTGTAGCTCTTTCTTGCTTTCTCTATTTTTTGTATTTGTTCTTTTTAGTCATACATGACAGTAGAATGTATTTTGACATACATACATGTAGTATAACTTCCCATTCTTGTGGTTGTACATGATGTGGAGTTACACTGGTCATGTATTCATATATGAACATAAGAAAGTTACATCTGATGATTCATTCTATTGTCTTTCTCATTCCCTTCCCCACCTCTCCCTTCCTGCTACTCTGCTCTGTCCAATCTGGTGAAAACAAGCCCCCCACCCCTGCACCCCTCATCTATTGTGAGTCAGCATCTGCATCAACAGAGAGAACATTCAGCCCTTGGATTTTTGGTATTGGCTTATTTCACTTAGCATCATAATTTCCAGTTTCATCCATTTAACTAAAAAACATAATTACATTCTTCTTTATGGCTGAGTAATATTTGTGTATATATACCATATTTTCCTTATCCACTCATCTGTTGAAGAGCTCTTAGGTTGGTTCCATAGTTTAGCTATTGTGAATTGAGCTGCTATAAACATTGATGTGGCTGCATCACTGTAGTATGCTGATTTTTAAGTCCTTTGCATGTACACTGAGGAGTGGGATAACTGGGTCAAATGGTGGTTCCATTCCAAGTTTCCTGAGGAATCCTCATATGGCTTTCCATAGTGTTGCACCAATTTTCAGTCCCACCAACAGTGTATGAATGGACATTTCCCCCCACATCCTTCCCAATATTTATTGTTACTTGTATTCTTTATAACTGCCATTCTGACTGGAAGAAGATGAAATCTTAGCATAGTTTGAATTTGCGTTTCTCTATTGCTAGTGATGTTGAACATATTTTCTTATATTTGTTGATTGATCGTATTTCTTCTTCTGTGAAGTACCTGTTCAATTCCTTAGCCCATTTATTGATTGGGCTTTATTTATTTATTTTTTGGGTGTTAAGTTCTTTGAGTTCTTTATGTATCCTGGAGGTTAATGCTATATCTGAGATAAAGGTAGCAAAGATTTTCTCCCATTCTGTAGGCTCTCTCTTCACATTCTTGATTGTTTCCTTTGCTTTGAAGAAGCTTCTCAGTTTGATACCATCTATTTATTGATTCTTGATATATTACTTATTATGCTTTTGAAGTCTTGTTGAAGAAATAGGTTCCTAAACCAACATGATGAGCCTATTTTTTTTCTAGTAGGTGCAGGGTCTCTGGTCTAATTCCTAGATCCTTGATCCACTTTGAGTTGTGTTTTGTGCAGGGTGAGAGATAGGGGTTAAATTTTATTCTACTACATGTGTATTTTCAGTTTTCACAACACCATTTGTGGAAGAGGCTAACATTTCTCCAATGTACATTTATGGCACCTCTGTCTAGCATGAGATAACTGTATTTATGTGGGTCTGTCTCTGTGTCTTCTATTCTGTTCCACTGGTCTATGTGTCTGTTATGGTACCAGTACCATGCCATTGTTTTTACTATAGCCCCATAGTATAATTTAAGATCTTGCATCATCTCCACCTTCTCTTCCACTATTCAGAGTCTGGATTTCTCCAAGGCTCTGTATGTCCACTATTGTACTTCAGCATTTTCCCATAGGCATGTGCCTCAATGAATAGTTGCTTTCCAATTGTTTTGATTCCAATGCACAGAGAAGCAGGCAAGTGCTGGTTGCTTCTGATTTGCTGTCTTCAAAAGTATTTATTAATTTAATTCAAGTTTTATCATATTCTTTGCCTTTTTCAAAAAAAAACATGTTCTCAGTTGAAGTGTAGAATCATGTTCTTAACTTTATTGGTCTTAAATTCTCAGATGATCAACAGATTAAAAAAAGCAATAATTTTTTCATTGAGAGTGAGTTTATGTTAAATACACTATGTTCTATTATTTATGTTTAATTCTCACAAAATTGGGAGAAAGATGTAATTATGAAATCCATTTATAGACAAAGATATAATGATTAGAGTAAGTTGATTCTCACACATAATAATTTCCAGAATCAGGATCAAAAGACTTGTCTAGTGCTGATGCCTCATAAATTGTAATCATCTTATGCAATGATATCATTTATTTGTTTTAATTTCTTTTGGATCGAGAGTAAGTTATATTACTTATAGTTGTTTGTTGATATCTTCCTCCTTCCATCCCTCCCTCCCTTTTTTCCTTTCTTCTCTCTTTCTATTGTAGGAAAATCAAAAGTTTTTCTCTACCATCTTAGGATTTTTCTGCTGAGTATGAGAATTAAGTTGACATGGAGATAGACAGGAGAAAAGCATCCACTTTTATATCATACAAATTTTATGCAGAAAAGAAATCTTCATAAAAAATAAGACTCAAAGACTCAGAATTGAACATGCATATTTAATTGGGAAAATTAGTATATTGTGAACATATGATAAGGTAAAAGTTTGGGATATGGTTGAGAAGTAACCAGGAGGTTTAATGAGGTTTGTTTATACAAATTTCCTTTAGCCTCAACTCTCCACTCTTGATGTAAGAGTGTTACTTTTCCTTCTGGTATAGAAAGAACATTTTTCACATGGGAATCCACTTGACCCAGGATATTTCTTCTTGCATCTTCTACTTTTCAGATTCTTTAATTTAATATAATAGGTATGTCAAGTTCTGAGTGTCACCCTCTGAACTCCTTCACTCTCATATCATGTTAAAGGGAAAAAAAGAACAAAGGCATTAGTAATCTGTTGGAAGATTTATAAAAATAAAATGCTAATATTCTTCTGGATATCATAGGCTCAACACACACATAAGCATGCGTGTGCATACACACACAAAGAGAATCCAAAGGCAGAATTTGATTCCTTATCCATGGCCTAATAGTTCTTAGAACCTGCTTTTCCATATGCACTCTTTACTAAATTTAGTACTTAAAATCAATTATGTCAGTGTTTAGCAGTTCTGATTTTTGTTTTCCTTGTCATTCTCAAGAATGCTGATGTTCCTTTGAAAATCTTCATGCTCAAACGTTCATTTGATTAAACAGAGAAGGAAAAGTAAAAAGCAAAACTGATTCACTACAGTGAGTGGAAATAGTTTTTGATTTATTTTATCTGATATTTTTTTCTTTTTTCAGTAATATCAAAATGTTCTAAAACTGTGGCATGTGGAGGGGAATGGACTGCAGTAGGAGAGAAGTGTTTCTACTTTTCTGATGATATCAGAAACTGGACAGCCAGTGACAGAGACTACAGATCACAGGGGTCAAAACCGGCTTAGATTGATACACAAAGGGATATGGTAGGAAAAATTTTAAATAATTTCAAAGATTATGTTTCTGCAAGGAGAGAATAAAAACAATAACAGCTGATATTGTGTGACAATACATGTCAGACAGTGTTCTGAACATAATACTTATAAAAACTCAGGTAATCTTCAACCAGTGCCATGTGCATGCACACACACACACACACACACACACAGCACACATGCACAGAGGCATGAGCTGGGATTTGAATGCAGGCAAATTGCCTAGTGATATCATGTCTTAACATCAGTGCCTACTGTGTAGATAGATAAATGTCTTTATTGGATGTTTTTAGATTGCAATATTATTTCTTAGTTACATTTGCCTTCCACCAAAACTTTTCTGGAAATTAGAATTTTAAAAAATGATTTAGCTCTTAGAGTTTAGGAACTTAGAGGTGAGGATGTGAAGGAGATATGTGTACTTGTAGTAAGTGAATTAATAAATGGAAGAGGTGAGAGAAGGCAGACAGACTTGGACTTTAGGGACACAGTAAGAAATGAGGTTGGTTGGTTTGTAAAGAAAAGCTGACAAAAATGATTAAGGTCCTATAGTAAGGATATTATGGAGGAAACCCTGAAACTCCCACTTAATATCTCCCATTGTAATAAATCATATTTACCCAGGAGTTAGTTTGATCTCAGATTGTATGAGAAAACATATAGCACGAATGGCATTCTTATGATGGGATCTACTCAAAGCAGTTTCCCTCTGAGTTTTTCCTTCTTAACAGTACTGCCACTTTCCTTTACTTCTTTCCCCTTTAATATATTGTGAACATATGATGAGGTAAAAATTTTGGATATGATAGGGAAGTAACCAGGAGGTTTAATGAGGTTTGTTTACACAAATTTCCCTTAGACTCAACTCTCCACTCATGATGTAAGAGTATTACTTTTCCTTCTGGTATAGAAAGAACACTTTTCACATGGGAATTTCAGGCCCTTCTTCTTTAAATGATGGAAGGGCACCCACACTTAAAACAATATAGAAGCATTGGTTCCTGTCATCCTTCAGGAACAGGCTATACCAGTTCCTGTAGAAACCTTTGAGACCCCTAGCTTGTCATCCAGGTAGTTTTAACATCATTGCAGTTCATGGTCTTCGTCATTCACCTAGTGACTAGAACATATCAACGACTTAGACTTTGAACTTAAAAAGAAAAAAGTCAAATATGCTTTTCTCACAATTTCTGAAGAGGTGGAAATTGCCTTTGAAGATAATTAGAGGCCATGTAGATTATAGAATTTCAATAACACGATTAAAATATAACTTCTTAGACATGTCTAACTGATAGAGTGAAATAAAAATTGTTCTGATAATATTATCTCAAAGATATCTGTGCTGTTTGTGCTAGAAAAAAATGAAGACATCAGAATTTAGAATGTGAATTTTAAAAGGTGAAATGATTTAGTTGAGAAGCATATTCCACAATGTGCTCTAAAATATTAACTAATGGATGACACCTTGTGCTTGTGAAAGGAATTTTTGAAGAAATATACAGGAACTTCCATGCACTGCATTGGGTTGAGCAGGAAAGTGGGAGAGTCTTGGAAATGGACAAATGGTACCACATTCAATGCTGTGTAAGCTTCAAATTTAGTATGAAAATTTTTATTATTGTGTTCTAGAAAAATTTAAATAATTTGAATGGTGATATTAAAAATAAATCTTTTTTTTCTGTGTTAAAGAGACCTTCATATGAAAACTTTCAATCTCCAATCTGACATATGCCTCTTAACAAATCTCATAGTTTTTTAAAAATTCATCCAATGTCCACTATAAGCAATTTACTTATTTGAACTTTAATTTAATTTTAAGTATTTTTAATTTCTGTAACAGTTCCTTGCATGAAAGTTGCCTCCTCACTTATATACCATTTTTCCTAATAACCAGGGGTATAAGACTCTTCTTTCAATCCATGTATTCCTCCCTAATTTTTTAAGTTAGCGCTAGACAGAAAAGTGACAGCCAATTAGACAAATATTGAAAGCTTGGTTATATCATACTTGTTATAAAAAAAATTAAATATCAACAGGGCTAATTAACAAAAACTATATTACATGTGTTCTTTTGGTTTTACTCTCTGTATTTCAACAACACCAAATAAATATGAACCTTATTCTTTACTTTTAGTAAAATAAAAATATTCATTAAATTTATGCCTGGAAGCTACTTTTTTATTTACAGAGATCTTTTGATTTAGCAAACATTCTTTTTCTAAATAGAAAAAATGATAGATAACATAGAAGAATGAAAGGAAAAGAAGGAAAGAAGCAAGACAGATAGAGCGGGCAGTAGGAGGAAAAGGAAAGGTAAGAAAAGGGCCGAGCATGGCAGAGCACACCTGTAGTCCCAACTACTTAGGAGTCTGAGGCAGGAGGACTGCAAGTTTGAGGCCAGCCTCAGAAATTTAGCAAGATCTTCAGCAATTTAGCAAGACCCTGTCTCAAAATAAAATTTAAAAGGACTGAGAATGTAGCTCACAGCTAAAGCACCCCTGGATTCAATCCACCAGTCTAAAAACAAACAAAACCAAACGAAAAAACAAAGAAAGAAATGGACATAAACCTGTCTTCATCTGTCTGTACACTTTTTCTCCACATTGTTCTGAATAGAAGTACAGATTATAACTCAAAAAAAAAATACCAAATTCAGTCTTATTTTCTTTTATTGAACCAATTTTTGTGAAAACATATGATATCAGGTAATATATTTTCTGGGAACTTGGTGTTTTTAAATATGTTTCAAATCACTGTGTTCTTAATTTTCTTTTTGATTATAGATGTATATAGCTCCCAAACTGACTTAGATTATTTCCTTTCAGGTTTGAAATAAAAGGGGATGGATTCTTTTTATTCCTGAATGCTGATAGAGTCCATAGTTCCAGGGGATTAATTGATATCAAGTGGATTTGCAGCATACCTAAGTATTTGTAGAGTATAGAAAACTAGAAAATGACTATCTTACTTCTGAGGTAAAGGAAAGAACTAATTAAGCAGAAATTGTTTTTTATTTATTATGTTTTGAAGCAGACAGCTTTTCAAGTATTAAACAGAAGAAACCAAATTTTATGAATAAATGGAAAATTATACATAGAACCTCATAAATTCATAATACATAAGTGCCCAATATGTGCAAATTTCAAAATATTTTAACTCTACTACATAAGAGATCAGATCAAAGCAATAATAAATAATTAGATGAACTGTGACTACAATGATGGTTATGAAAAATGAATTTAAAAGTATCTATATTGATAGGCCGACTAAGGATTATAGCTTAATAGTTAAAGAAATTTATGAGCTCTCTACATGTGAATGTTAAAAAATATACTAACCATACTGTCCTTGGCTTAAATGTTACCAGACAATCACCCATGGATGGGTATTTACTTCAACAATATCCTGAAAACAAGGGAATGCGTACCAGGAAAGACGTTGATTCTGTCTTAGTTTGTTTGGTCTACTATAACAAAATACTTTTACTTTTTATAAAAATACTTTTATTTCTTATAGTTGTAGAGGCTATAAGTCCAAGATCCAGGCATTAAGATTCAATGTCTGGTAAGGGCTCCCTTTTTGTTTCAGAGTTGTTATCTTCTTGCTGTGTCCTCATGGTTGAAGGGTCAAAGCAGCTCACAAAGACTTCTTTTGTAAAGGTACAATCCTGTTCATAAGGGCTCCACTCTTATGACATAATTGCCTCCCAATGTTATCACCTCCAGATATTATCACAGTAGTGGTTAAATTTTAACTAATGAATTTTGTGGGAACACAAACATTCAGACGATGGTACCTATAAAGAATAAACACTGATAAATGACCAAGATTATATATTAAAATTATAATGCTTAGATTATGAAATGAAAATTAGAATTATAAATATAAGAAGTGACCAAATCATTGACAGGTAAAAAACTTGATCTTCCAACTAATAAAAAGTAAATAAGATGTTAGTGACACATTCATGGGCACATCCTAAAACTCAAATTCTGTAGAATATGAAAAAATTATATCAAACCTGCTTTATTACCTTGGTTTAAGTTTAATTTTCTGCCTACGTAAATGTAATCTGTAAATGCAAGAAGGTAAATGTAGTCTATAAATGCAATGAGTATAGGCAAATAGAGTACAGAAGTAGAGGAAAACAGCATCTAGGATACAGTGTAAATAAATAGGAACACATAGACAAGCCCATTCCTCACATTAATAGAGGGTGACTTCACGACATACTAACAGGTAAAACCTAATTTCCAGATAAGTCCCACCTTTAAATGTTTTGCCAGGCAGTATATGCTAATTTAAATAACTAAGTAATCTTGGCAAATACTATCATGTAATGAAGTATGGGCAAGTTACATTAGAGTACCATGTTGTTACCAAGAAAACTGGAAAAGTACTGGTATGGTGAACTGTTTTAATGTATAAACTATTGGCTCAGTTTAAGTTCCAGTTTTACCAAATTCTATATGTTAGCTTTTATTTTTCTTGTTCATTAATGATTAGCAAGTTAATTTGATTAACTGTTTAGTAATTAAGAGTAACAGTAACTCATTCCCTTTCCCTATTTCTTCTTTGACTCACAGTTATTAGGGCACAAATTTCTGATGGCTTAGAAGGAAATTTCTTGAAGGAATTAATTACCTCTCTTATAGAATGGATAGGTACTGCTGGATTTATTTTGAAATATGAATGTGTTTTGAACAAATGAGAGGAAAAATAAGAAACTTTATGTAGAATTTTGTTAGAAAACTGTGAGAGTTAAGACAATTTTCAATTTAATCATGTTTATATATAACGATGAAAGAAGAATAAATTGTGGAATTATTAAAAGGAAATAAATTGTGTTTCAGCCAGCCTTTTGTTTCTGTGATCAATATACTTAACAAGAACAACTAGGAGAGGGAAATTTACTTTGGCTCAGAATTGCGGCGAGGTTCCGTCCATAATTGGCCAACTTCATAACTCATAACTTCATAACTCTGGGCCCCAGATGAGGCAGAACATCATGGTGGAAAAGCATGGCAGATGAAAGCTGCTCATTTTATAACAGCCAGGAAACAGAGAGAGCTCCACTCACCAGGAAAAAAAAAAATAATTTCAAAGTCATGCAACAAGTGGCCCACTTCCTCCAGCCATAACCTACCAACCACTCAGTTAATCAGTGTCAGTGGATTATTTGACTAATAGGTTAAAACTCTTAGAATCTAATAATTTCACTTCTGAACATTTTTACACAATTAGCTTTGGGGGATACCTCATATCTAAACCCAAACAGAATGCATGAAACTTCAAATAGTCATTCATGCTGACAGCATTTAGCACTTTATTATTAGTTGTAAGTTTGATTTCTTATAACTGATAATAAAGATAGATGAAAGACCAATTAACACAAGGGAAAAGCCAGTGAAGAAAGAAATACATACTTATATCTATGTGCCTAGTCTGCTATTTCACCAAATGCTCAAAAGCAATTATAATTCAAGAACTAGACTATATATGGACAGGAAATGAAGCAGGGTTAGAAGATTAAGTGGAATTATTTTTAAACAATCAATTGACAAGATTGGAGAATTGTTTTCTTGTTTAAAAATACAACTAATAGAAGCAGAGAATAAAATGGTGGTTTTCAGGAAATGAAGGAATGGAGAGTAAGGAATTATTTCTTAAGGGGCAGAAAGTTTCAGTTATATAAAATGAAGTCAATCTAGCGATATGCTGTATAATCTGCAGTTCACAATACAGTATTGTTCAATTTAAAATATGAAATATCCACTTAGGTTAAAGTAGATCTGAAATGTTTCCAAAAGATCCATGGTGTTAAAGCTTTTGTCCCCAGTGTTGGAAGATGATGGACCCTTTAGGAGGTGGGGCTTACTGAGAGTTCTTCAAGTACTTGGGGCCATTATGGGACCCCAGCCCCTTCCTCTCTTCCTCTTCCTCTGTTTTGGTTCTCTCCTATTAGGTAAGTGGTTTTGCTTCTCTACACATTCCCACCATAATGGATTGCCTTATCCAAAGAAATCAACTAAAATCTCTAACATTTGAGCTGAAATAAACATTTCTTCTTTATGTTGATTGTATCAGGCATTCATTATAATGATAGGAAGGTGTCTAACACAATATGTTGAGAATAGATCTCCTGTTAAGTGTTCTAACCAAACAACAACAAAGCAAACAAAAGGCAAGAAGGCACACATGAAAGAATATGCTGACATTTTTGGAGGTGATAGATAAGTTTAGTACCTCAATGTAATGACAACATCACAGGTATATGTGTGTGTGTATATATATATATATATATATATATATATATATATATATATATCCATGCATGGGCTCTCTCTCACCCAGTGAGGAGGTCCATGGAACAGGAACAGGATAGAGGAGAGTGTGGCTGCAGAGTTGCTAATCAAGACCTCCAGAGACCAAGCAGGAAGCAGGTCTGATTTTATTGTGCAGTTATGATGTATATACTCAGGCAGTAGGTAGGCAGATTACAGGCAGCCACCAATGCAGTTTCTGCTAACTGCTCTTGCAGCGACCAATTGAGGAGTGGTCTCTGGAGCAAGCACAGGGACTGCAACTCATAGCCTCATGCCCAGGGCTGTGCCTATGGGATAAGTGGCCTGCTGCTCATACGCCTAGCATAAGGGAGTGGCCTGGCACTCAGACGCCCTTACATGGACAGGAAATGCAGTACTCCATGCACTTGTCCCCACATCTCCTCACTCTGACTGTGTTGCAAGAACTTCAGGCAGCATTGCTGTTTTTTGTTTGGTGGCTTTACATGGTTGCATAAGCATCTCATAACACAAAATATCACTATTATGAACAGTAAGGCCAGGGTTATAGCATCATAAGAATTAGTTAATTCGGCTATCAGGTTTTTCCAATGATCAGTCAATCCCTGGAAAAAAGAAGAGGTTGTCAAGATAGACTCCTTTGTCTTGTTGATTTTGACAATTGTCTTACTAAGGTTATGCATAGTCATAACATAGTTAGCATCCCAAGCGCCCTTAATATACTGAGAAAAATCAGAGAAGTATAAGGTTACATTGTCAGATTCAGCATATTGGGTGACACAAATATTATGAAGTTCAGAATCACGAGTGAGCCTTTGCAACATAAACAGAATATCTAGTTGTTCCTGGTGGAGGTCTAGTTCTTGCTGAATAACTAAAATAGTGGCTAGGGACAGTTTATTTAAGTAATTTTGAAAGGCAAAGACAAATTGCTTACAGTCTGAGCGGTCTGGATACTCTGCAGCTGCAGTGGCTGTGGTGGCAATGGCAGCTACCAGGACAATAATTCCAGTGATGATGAGGCTAATTGCACACCTTGTCTGGTGTGGGATCTCATTCAGAAGATTCTTCATCTCCATGTCCCATGGACTCCTCCACTCTTTGGACAGGTTCACTGGAAGCCAGATTGCTGGGGCCACTCTGAGGATAAATATACATTTAGCTTTCATAGTAGTGGTTAGACAATTTGTGAGCCAGCAGGATATATTGACTATACCAGGGATCTCTGCATGAATTATATTTATGCCATCAGTATCATTGATTATTAGCATGGCAAAAGGTGGCATAACACAAGCTTATGCAAAGTGGGTATGGGTATAATTTGGCACAAAGGCAAAGCCATGGTCAGGGTCTGGACTCAATATAGACCTATTTATCCATCCAGCTGCTGCCCATTTGATGGGTCCTAGAGTTATAGTTAATGCTACCTATAGCCATAGATTCCACCATGGCAAATGCAAGAAACTCTTGCTGCCAACATGCCCAACAACACTTTTTGGAAAGCTCCCCTCAGATAATGATAGCATCTCATGGAATCAATGTGTCACTGCCATACCTTATCTACTTGATAAGAGAAATTTCTCTGGGGAAGAATGACATCTAGGCACCTGGGTCCATTTGAGATAGCAATAT